TGTCTTCCACGCCTCGGCACACAGCCGGCGGTTCTGGCGGGTGTGGGATGGGCGAACTTCTTTCCCATGCGATATTCGATTCGAAGAAAAGACCGACGAAAACGAGGAGGAAGAAGTCTAGTCGTGGCACTTCGTCGACGAATGTTCTGTGTCATGGACTAACTCTGGCTGGGTTCCCACCCTGATATGGCCCATCTATGTCGAACGACGAAAACCGCAAACGAAGCGACGATATGCCGGCCTATACGAGAAAGGAAGACACGGTTCGGATTTGTGGTGGGGGGTTTGCTATGTGTTGGTATATAGGCTAACTAACACCGGCCATATTCGACATTGAAAGGCTGTTTGAGCGCGGCGGCTTTTGTCTGCAAGACCTTGGCCTGACGCACACGCCTACTTGGATGCGGCTCTGGTAATGACAGACGGCTTGGAGTGGTGTGTGATCATGTCTGAACTTACGTAGACAACCCCCATAATGTCCCCATGTGCATCGGCCAGTGGTATTTGGGCAACATGTTCGTGACGAAAGCTTTGCTGGGGCATAGCCAACATGGCTGCATTTCTTGGTCACTCATGTTCAAGAACAAGAAGAGCTTGCTGTCCAAGCCTTGTCATCCAACCCTTCATTTTGCGTGGAAAGACTATCGATATCAGTCAGGGACAGACAACTAGACTAGCAGTGGGAAAACGGATCATGGAAAGAGTAAATGACCCAAGTCATGTTCAATCGCCCATCGAGGTCCGAAGATCACTTCAGCGCAAAGTGGCGAATAGATCAAATGCGTCGCGACTGTAGAAGACAAGTCAGTTGAGACATTGTGAGAAACTGATGTTTAGGAGTATTAAACCCCCTTTGCACTATTCACTGCTATGTTCCGTACTTAGGGTAGACGTGTAATACTTCTGATGATGACAAAAAGACATTGTTGTCGATCATTTTCTCCGCAGACATGACGTCCGAGTAATTACTGAAGGCGGGCGTTGGAGGCCCCCAACTTCGGGTGCATATTCAACATTGACATGCCAGGACCTTTTGGCATGAGATGAATTTCTAACAGCATCATTGTCCCCTCTGAAGCTCTTGTCTTGTTAACTAATGCCTTTGTATGGCACATTTAGCTTGGAACTTTTCTCATCGACTAATACTTGTTGTTCAACCTACCATCCCAAACAAACGCCAGGGGGTGGTGGACGCCAGATTCGACCATGGACCATGGCGTGAAATCGCTCGAAATCACTCCGAGTATCTTTCTCAGAGTACCTATTGGTTGTTACTGGTCCCCGGCCATAATAGTGTCAGAGTATGTCTACAAGAGGTAGGGGTTCTATTAATGTCCTACTTGCAACCGAAACATTCAATACCATGTTAGATTCAATCCAAATTCGAACTGCCCGTAATATATCGCTTGGCACATTCCAATGGTGAAACGAGAGTAGAGATGGCGCGCTTATAAAGGCAAAAAGTCGCTCTTTGAAAACCTCATAAGCATCATTCTAATCTTCACATATCACAGTTCACATAAGAATCTCGCAGCTTAAGTAGAAACATCTCTGTTCCATCATCGTATCCGGCCGTGACTATTCTAATGGTAGTGTAAGGACTGTCGTCGTCTCCGTCCATGGAGAACCTTCATCAACTAATCGTTACACAAGGTATCCAGCCTTATTAATTTCCGCCATGCCCCAAGCCAACTCCGGGTCATTACAAAGGAATGAAGTAGAAAGTAAAAGATATGAACCTAATCCCCCAAAAGCCGGATCCCTTATTTGCTCCGAGACATTTTTATCATGTACCCCAGTTCCCAATTCTTATCATGCGTCCATGCCAAAAAGAGGGAGAAAGAGGATGGGTAAGGTATACAGAGAAGCTGTGTTCAGCTTGGCGTTGCTGGCGGTGAGGCTTCTTACAACAGACCGACGACGGCGACGGCGGCACCGAGGCAGGCACCGGCGACCTTGACGCTACGGTCAATACCAGCAGCGGCGTTGGTAGAGCCAGTCTCCTGGGCGGCGAAGGCGCCGGTGAAGGTCGTCATGAGCGTGCTGCTGCCGGAGACGGCCTGGGCGACGGTCTGGGGGCCAACGGTGGTGATGACACGACCACCCTGGCTGAAGGTCCTGGTGACGGTGTCGGTGTGAGTCTTGTCTGAATGGAGTGTTAGTCTTAATATGGAAAGTAACGATGAGCGGGAGTGACTTACAAGCCCAGCCAGGGCCCATACCGCCCCAGGCACCACCCTGAGCCCACCAACCGTCAACGGGGCATCCGGTCATGGTAACGGCGGCGGCATCGCCAGTCTTGGTGGCGGGACCCCACCAGCCGCCGGTGTAGGTGAAGGTGCTCTTGGTAGCACAGTCGGTGAAGGCGTGGCAAGCGGACGAGGAGACGGAAGACCAGGCAGAGAGGGCAGCGGTCTGGGTAGCGCAGGCGGAGCTGACGCAAGACTTCAGATCAGAGTTCTCCGTGCAGAAGGCAGCGGGAGTGGGGGTAGCGGTTTGCCAGTGGGAAGCGAAGCAAGAAGCCTATTGGAGGTTCGTGTCAGTCAATTGTACGGTTGAGTTAGAGTTTATCGAAGATGGGATAACATGTGGGAGCAGATGGCCCGGGTGCTGTTCATCCGCTCTTTGCACACCGACCACCACATCTCTTGATACAACAGACGGGACAGAAGAGGAATTGACGGGAAAAGACTTACGGCGCAAATAGCGGCAGGAGATCCGCCGAATCCTCCGAAGCCACCGGCGCCCCAGCCGCCTCCAACTCCGTAACCGCCAAAGTTGCTCTCGTTGGAGCCGCCCCAGCCTCCGGGTCCGGGGGCAGCGATGGTGACGGCGCTCTGGGCGAGGGCAGCGGCGACGATGGAAGCCTTCATCTTGACTGTATTTTTGAAGATTGTTGGAATGGGTTTTGTATGTTTTTCGTGATTCGAGAGATGCTTTGCAGCAAATAAACTCTTTGACTTTTGGTTATTGCTCCTTGGCTTACTGAATAGGAAGGAAGAAAAGGTGACTGAATGTTGCGACGAAAGGATGCGTCCCGAGATGATGGTTCAAAACAAGACCAAACACAGGATGACCGAAGATCGAACAAGACCTTTATATCAAAAGTTTCACCCTCTGTCAAAACGGCAAGGCTCTCTGTGTCTCTCCTCTGGCGCACGCCGCCGCCTCCTCCGCCCCCTTCGCTGATCCACTCGTCGTGCAGCCGTTGTGCGTACACTATTTTCGGTCCCGAGAAGTCGAATACCCATAGAGAAGGGGGGGAAAGCAATGACATCGATACCTACTCACCCCCCTTCGTCCCTGTGGTGTTACCGGTCACGGACACCGCGTGGACGTCTTTGGACTTCCGCAGATCCTACCACGCAGCTGGTTCCCTCTCCCCCTTCCCCCTTCAACGGCAATCCTCCGCAGCCGCATCCGCGCATACATCCAATCCCGCTGAAAGTGTTCCAAGCTCACCCTTCCATCGGCGCACTACGCAGGATGACTAGATGGGACACACGCAGAGAGAGAGGGCGGAAGGGCTGGCCCAACACCGCGCGGCCCTCTCTTGCATGGCAGGCTTGGCGCTCACCACCGGGCGCGGTGTCACAGGAGAAAGCGCGATGCTTCCCCAACGCACATGGCTGCTTGTAGTAAGCAAGCCACTGCAGCATTCGGACGGCTCCTCACTGGCTCATCGGCGGTTTTGCTCGGCCGGGGGATGGTGGGTTCGCACAGGTTTGCTGAGGTTTGATGGAGGTAGGTAGGTTGTTGTGTTAGTGTCCGGGATGAGGATTGGGGAACACCGGACAAAGCGGCCCCTAGTGTCGGTCAAGAGCCGGCCTTAGTCTCTAGGAAACGAACGACCAACCAACCACCATCTTTGAAGCAAGCATGTTGGCTCGGTCCCCCGGAGAGCGGTCAAATCCTTCTTTTCTTCTGTCTCTTAAGCTTGTGTCGCATTAGCCCCAAATTCTCATCCAGTCTCGAGGTAGAGGCAGACTGACGTCGTTGTGCCGATTCGTCCGAATTGGTCAGTTGCTTTGCCATTTGCCTACTGCTTCTTGCGCCTGCGCCTGCTTCTGCGTCTGCGTCTGCGGCGCAAGACTGCCGTCGTAACCGCGATCCCACTGCTTCCACAAGGGCGAGCCACAGTCTTGTCCAGGCGCCGAGATGGTGACCACCGACAGCCCGACTGAAGTCTTGTGTGTGTGTGTAAACGACCATGTTTCAGAATATGTGCTTATGCTGCTGCTCGGTTCGGGCTGATCGTGTCCACCTCCACTACGAAAGCCCAGCCGCCAGTCAGATTTGGCAGCAGATCGTTGGCTAGCTGCCGTCGCGCCGAGAGGCGAGGCTGGCATTTGGTGCTCACTTCGGCTTACACTAAGGCAGGAACTCTCACGGTGTCTTGCGCCAGCCTCAACGGATGACGCGGAAGATCGACTTACATCGGGGACGTCGGGGGATACCTCACCGATCCGAAGTAATAAGGCCAATTTTCTGCGTGTGTGTATCGTCTCTAGTACAACATGATATCGGATGTCGGCTGTCTGCAACGCCGTTTTCCATCCCTTGTAATTATTCCCGACCCAAGAAAAAAGTCCCTGCTTAATGCCATGCAGCAGGCCTGTCGTCCCGATCCTGTCCTTCTGCAAACTCCAACGTTAAAAAAAGAAAAGAGCCCGATATTTCGTCTCAAACAAGCCGTTGCCGCAGTGCAGCTTGCAGCTGTCCAAACTCATACAAGAAGTCCGTTGCCTCCCAACACCGCCTCAACCTGCTTTCTAATCCCATGACGTCTACCTCATCATCATCATCACAGGCGCTCGCCAAATTCAGGTTCAGCGAAGACCTCTCAGAGTCACCGAGGGCCCCTGAGCGTTCCACCGTGGACGCGGAGCTTGATATCGCGCCCGCGTCTGCGCATACCACTGAGCTTGCGTTCGATACTTCGCTCGACACTGCGCCTCATATCGCGCGTGGTACCGTGCCATTCGCCACATTGGTTGGCTCTACAGCATTGTGCCGAAGGCATCGTCGTTGTTGTTGTTGAACGGAAGAGGCTTGCGCGGACTTCCCTCCTCCGTGGTCTTGCGGTGTCGGAAGGTGAAGCCGACAAAGAGGCTCTTGCCCATTTCGTCATCACGGTCCGCCATGCTCTCCAACGCCTGCTGCTTATCATGCACCTCCTTGTACTTGGCCATATCGGCCTCGTTGGTGAAATCATCGAAGTAACCAGCATCAGTCTCGGAGTCCAGCTCGGGTACGAAAGGCGCCTTAGTCGTTCGCAGCTGCTCCCAGTCAACCTCGGCGAAGTATTGGTGAGTAAAGATTTCCTTGATGTTGGAGAATCGCTTGGACCGAGAGTTGATGCAACTAAGCTGGGGTTAGAAACCTTTAGAAACAGTGGCATTGTGGGTCACTTACGTCGTGATAAAGTTCCATGTGCGGTTGCTGAGGAAATAATTGGGATCCTCCCAAACAGGTCGCTTGAGCACCTCCCTCCAATGCTTCAAGTTTCTCCAAGTCTCATCAGGAGTAGATCCGGCGAAGGGTGGGAAACCGGTCAAGGCCTCGAAAAGCATACATCCCAAACTCCAGTAGTCCACAGTGTAATCGTACTCGTCACCTCGGAGCACTTCAGGCGCCATGTAGTCAGGCGAGCCCACAATGGACTTGGCGTAGTTGGTGTCCTTTGCGCGCATCGTTTGGTATCCCTCTCGTCGCTCGGCGACACTTCGCTGATCCATTGGCTTGCCAAATGGCACTGAGGTCTCGGAAGCCTTCTCAAGGCGGATTCGCATGGACTCGATCTTCGCAGGAGCAAGGAAGCCGGCAGCCAGGCCGAAGTCGGTGAGCTTGACGTGACCTGTAGAGTCGACGAGGAAGTTCTCAGGCTTCAGATCTCTGTGGATGTAGCCGAGCTGATGGAGGGCATCAACAGAGCAGAACATCTCTGCGATGTAGAAGCGGGCATGGCGATTGCTCAAGACTCCAGTGTTGTTGAGCAGAGTGCGGAAATCGCCACCAGGCACGTACTCCATGGCAAGATAAATGCTCCTATCATCTTGGAAAGAGTAAAGCAGTCGAACAAGCCATTCACTCTTGGCGGTGGTGAGAATGTCACGCTCCGTCAAGACATGACGAACCTCATCCAACTTGAACAGCAACTTCTTGCTCATCACTTTCAAAGCGCACACTTCACGAGTATCCTTCTTCTGAGCTAAGAACACCTGGCCGTAGCCTCCCTGGCCTACCTGGGTAAGGATCTGGAAATCACCCTGGCGAAGCCTGACACGCCTCTTTCGCAGATTGGCGCGCTCTCGGCCCGCGTACTTGGACCACATCTGCTTGTATGCTGCCTCATCGGTTTCGGGCGGGGGAGGAATCTCGGAGTTGAATGCCACCAATCGGTTCTGTCTGGAGCCAACGTAGGTCAACAAGTCGAAGTAGTAGTCGAGGAAGTCTATCGTGGGTTAGCAAGCATCACTAGAACCTATGGGAGAGGACATACAGAGCTGGGTGACATTGACCAATCTGCGAACGTTTGGGCGTTGCAGGATCTCGAGCTCCTCGGGAGTAAGCGGTTTTTGGGTGTTGAACTTGTTTCTGGGCGTCAATGGCTTCTCCTTGGTTTGGTATAGCTCGTGCCGAGAGATGGCAGCGTGACTTTGCTGGTACGGTGAATCGGTGCCTCCCAGACGCGTGATCGGAGGAGTGTTTTCCTGGCCGTTTGACTTCTTCAAAGGGCTGCCCGTAGATGCGACGCCCTTGTGCAGCACGCTATCTTCGACATTGGGGCTCGCCTCACTCAAGTTGCCCTTTCCTGGTGACTGCGGGGTATTGATGACGCTCAGCGGGCGCTCAAGCCTGGGTCTTTCGAGGACGGGGGTGTTCAACTTGAGTGCGCTGTCGAATGCATCGGGAAGCTCGTTGGCGCCAGGAGGGACAGTCCGTTTGCTTGGGCTCCCTTGAGGCGTGCTGGCGGGGTTGATGAAGCTGTTTCTGGTGGGCGTCTCGGGCCTGGCAGAAGCATCCTTTGCTCCTCCAGGGAGGAAATTGGACATGAAGCCCGACATTGTGGCGGCGTTGACGATGCTCGTAAATGCGATTGGGGGAGGGCGGTTAAAGGGAGTAAATAAGAGTGATCAACCCGTGAGGAGGGGTCGTTTAAGAGAAGATGGGAGGGATGGTCGATACCGCTGCAAGGTACAGATAAAGTTCAGGACTCCGACTCGCGATAGAGGATGCTGGCAAGCGAGGAGTGTGTTGTTATCTTCTCCGCCGTGGGGTTGATGTTGGGTCGGAGTCCAGGGTGATGGATGGAGTCGGCCCAAGATCTGCCCAAGAGAGAGTGACCACTGCACAGTCGATCGCTGGGTGGACACCAGAATGTTTTAGGGGGGCAGCGGGAACAAAGCAATAGTGTTATTGGGCGTTGCGGGGTCCTAAGTCAACAATGTTGCAGGGGCAACTATCGGGCCCCTGTTGATTGGACGCCTCATTAGGCGCGATAAGATAGACGATAAGGTTCCGTAGCTCCTTATCGGTCTTGGCGAAGACGGAAGCTTTCGACGTCAACGCCAACCCGTCTACTGCACATCATCAACCTTGTTTCACACGACAGAACCACAACCATGCCCAAGGAGCGCAACTACAACCCGGTGCAAGCCCAGCGCAAAGCTGACAAGGCCAAGGCAATCAAGAAGGGTACGTGGGGATCAATTTCGCGCGCATACAGTTATATCCAGACGGTCACTGACTTTTGCATCCAGGAAAGGCTTCAATACAATCACAACGAAACGAAAAGCTCGCGCGCCGCAATCCCGAACGAATCCAAAAGCAGATTGATGACTTGAAAGCAATTACAACAGGAGGCGGCAAACTCTCACGACATGAAGAGCAGGTTTTGGATGGACTCGAGAAGGAGCTACGCGCCGTGAAGAAGGCGCGTGAGGCACTCGGCGACAAGGCTCCGTCATTCGGCCGAGGCTACCACCGCGATGGCGATTCCTCAGGAGGCGTGCTAGGAAAGCGCAGACGAAATGACGATGAGTTGACGAGCGATGAGGACGTACCCGATGAAGTGAAGCGCATCCCGATGCCTCGCGACACGCCACCGCCGATACCGAAGGAAGTGCTGGACAAGTGGTACGCGAAGAGACGCGCTCGCAGGCAAGCCGAGCAGGCCGAGAGAAACGAGAACGAAAAATCAGACGAGAAGGAAAAGAAGACGTCAACCCCAGCACCGGAAGCCAAGACCGTGTACGAGGCCAAACCTATGGTGCGCAACTTGCAAAAGGAGGCAGTGGCAGCATTTGTACCAACTGCGGTTAGGATGAAACTGGACAAGGGCAAGGGACAAGGTGGCTTGATAGAGCCCGAGGAGGCAGACAGACTGGAGCGAGAGGGCTACTTGAAAACGACTACCGCTACAGAGGAGACAGAGCCGTCTGGACCCAGGAAGGTCATGATGGAGGAGGTCGACGACGATGATGCCTGAAGAGGGCGACTGACATTTCAAACGCCAAGAGGGAAGTGATTGATCCGGCACTGCCAAAAGCAAATTCGGCCGCTTCACCGTTCACCGGCCTTTTCTCCATACGATGTATGCCGAGGAAGTCAATAGCCCACTCAGTAAAAGGATCAACAGTACCCCTTCCAATACATACTGCCTCGGGTCTCATGGCGGTCAGCAAAACTCCGCTTGGCTCTACATTTATGGGAGATGAGTCGCATCACGAAGGCACCATGTGCTCAGACTTCTTGGACAAGCAGACCCTGCACAAGGCAGCATGCCAGAACGTGGCGTGCATCAAGACATTTATTCTCACCCCGGATTTGTTTGGCCTACCCACGTCATTCTTATATCCGGCCACGGTACTCGTCGAAGTGCTTTTAAAGGGTCTCAAGTGGGTTCAAGGGCACCCAAGGATAGGCGAAGTAGGAGGCTACCAGTAGATGAGAGAGACTCTCTGGAAAGAATTCATCCTTCCTCGTGCATACAGGCTTGAAATCACCAGTTTAGCAGCGCAGATACCCTATCAATTGCAAGACTTCTTCCGCTTCCGGTTTTTGCATTACTATGACACAGGTTCCCCGTAAAGTGATACCACTTGGAGACAGCAGCAAACTACTGTAACTGAACGTCGTCCGTATCTTTCGACAGTGATGTCATCCGTGGTAATGGATACTCGAACCGATGGTCTACAGGGATGTCATCACGAAAGGATGCAATGCGGCCGCTCTTCCTGTAGAGTCAAAAGGTAAAGCCCGAAGCATTGGCTAAACCGCCCCTGTGTCCTGACAAAGCCGTCAAGTCCGAATTAACGTCTGGTATTTTAACTGTCTTCAGAGGCCTGGATATACGCTCTCAAACTCATCTTTTGCAAAGTTCTGAAGCCCTGTACTCATGTTGTGAATGATATGGACTCCGCAAGCAAGTAAAGAATTTGACTCTGATGTTGCGGTGGTGTCAGATCGACCAAATACTATGTCTGATGGAGGCTCTGCTTTCAAAATAACAACATATGTTTTAGTATCATTGTTTTAACAAACTAGGCTTCCTATTGATTCTTCAAGTGACTTGAATAAGTGCTGTTTGGCCTCCAATCCTGTACTTTTCTGGCTTTCGTAATGGCCGACCGCATTGTTCAAAGACACCACTTGAGGTCTCAAATGTCTGCACAATATGGCCATACGAAGGGAAGGTGGCAATGTGTGTTGATATCATGGTCGGCGCTGCCATTGCTTTCTCTTGTAATCCTTAGCCTCCAAGAGTGAAATACAGATCCTGCATAGGTAAGAATGCAGTTGCTGATTTGCTTTGACATCTTAGCTGCTAAAACAGCGCTTCACAACTTGAAAGATAGCTTTTTCTTTATTTACCGGTCAAAATCATGTCTTGGTCATGGCTTTTGTTGTGGACGCATGGAATCTCACATCACTCTGTGGTGTCCATCGAAGCGATGCTTTGCAAAGTGAGACGACCACAAAGCGTTAAGCAGGTGATTCTTATTCTCCCGATTACCCTCGCGAATGAAAAGTCGGCCAGAAAATACCACGTTCTCCTTTTTCCGTTACTGCCTTTAGCAGGTCTACCTTCACCCATCATCAAGATTGAAAACGGGAAAAACTGCCCTCCGCTCCTCTTCATCCCAAGAGAAGACCACCATCGGTCTTCCCTCCATATCATTTTCGTTCGTACTTCGTCTCCCGCAATATCCCACCACCATTCAGCGAGACTCCCACCGTCACGAGGCCCCCACCACCACCAGACTCCTCCCATCTTGGGAGAGCTCTTCCTACGGCCCATAACCTCTCACAACCACTTCGACACAATGCATCCCGAAATCCCCGTCGAGTGGGACCACAACATGGGCACCCTAATGTACGATATTCTCATCAAATACAATTTCGGTCAGTCCAATCTCTGGGTCAAAACTACGACCTCAAGCAGCCAAACAGGAACGGTCGACATGTTTACCTTCACCGGACAACCGCGGAAGGTCTACCGAAACCTTGAGCGCGGATTCAAGTACTGCTTCCTCGGAGCACGTATGTTTCCTTCTGGTTGGCAAGACGAGTTTCGGTGCATCCTTCCCCTCGGCGACTTTTACGATGTCGATTACGTTATCCCAACTTTTGAGATAACCCGGAACCCTAGCGACTCACACCCGACGCCGTATGCAAACGTCCCTGAGATCGGACCCTGGGACAACTGGAAGCAAGCCCGTCGCCTGGCGCTCAGAATCGATCACATCAAGGATGGCAAAGTTATCGGACAATACCAACACTCTCACGACCACACCTTCCCGTACACGAAATACGGTCTGGGTTCCGAGCATACCAACTTCCTCGCTGGAGCGTGGTCTCGCGTGATGGCTTGGATCGCGGCCTTGACGAACGTTAAGTGGGCCAATCGAAGTTGGTTCCGGCACTGGGCCATTCAACCCTACGAGGTTATCGTCGAAGAAATCACGCCATGCTTCGCGTCCCAGCAGATGGTCATCTCCCAGTCCGGTCCCAGAGAGATCCAAGAGCCGCCCAAGCGTATCCATGTGGAGAACAACATGAGAATGATGTACGAGCTGTACGCAAGAGAACACCCGGAGATGTCAATCGGCGCTTGGTCTCGCAAACTGCTACCTAGCGGTAGGGAGACATGCGATGCCTGCCACATGGTAAGTAAATCAGACATGCCCTCCAGGACCAACTTGACTAATATGCCCAGGCCATGTCGAACCCCGCTGCTATGCATTGCCCACTAACCTGCTTGGATTGCTCTCCGCAGCAGGTCAACCTTCCCAACAGCCGCAAGACAGTATGGACTTGCGACTTCTGCGTGTCTGTCGGACGCGTGTGCACCTTCACTCCAGAACGGTACCTCGACCAGCATTTCGATGACTTCAAATCCCTCGGATATGCCAGAGTGCTTGGAGGACATCGACAGTTGTCCGACAGCGAGAAGCGAACTGCTAGACTACTGCTCAACGGAGCTTGCATACCAGAGTATCGAAAGGAAGTCAACCCTGTGACTCCGGAACATGTGTGCGACAAGGAGGAAATTGATTACGATGGCGATACGGAAGAAGATGGGATGTACCGCGGATGGAGATGAGAAAACCATGTCAAAAAGGTCATGATCGTGTGTATAGACTCGTGGAGGTTTGGTAAGAAGCGTGGCCTTTGTCAGATTCTGGTTCAATTGCTGGGATAGATATCAGAAAGATCACTGAAACCCCCTTACTTGATGTCGATGTGCCCCAGAGGCACTTTGCGCCTGTCCACGCCTTCCATTTTTACGTTTAGATAAGTAGGTCAGGCACCACGCGGAGCAGACGAATATGGTGGTAGCACCTTTGGTAGGCTACCTTCCCTGTGTTGTGAATATTTAGAAAGGAAGTCTGGCCTGCCTTCGCGTCTCTGAAGACCTTGTCCAAGAACTTGCCTGTCACATCAACAAGAAATACGACATCCAACATTCGCTTGAATCATAATCAATTAATACCATCCTCAGTTTGACAAAAATGGACCACCGTATTGTCCAGGATCCTCGAATCGAACAGCCCTTTGCTGTCAGCCTCAAGCGTCAAGTCGATTTCCCAAACGGGTTCTCCCTTCCCAAGTTCACAAGAGCTTGTGTCTATTCCAGCCGGTTGGCGGGCCGCAACCCCAACGACCTGATACCCATCCACCCAGTCATCCAGCGCCGGTTCAGCATCGATCTAAACGACGTCATTGCGCAGCCCGTGGTCTATGTCCCGGCTGATGCTCTCGAGATCGGTGTCCGCTTCCGACGCAGCTTCCACCCCGGCATAAGGGATTATAGTCGAATGCGTGCCAAGGACAAGGGTCTCAGACTCTACATGTTCAAGTTGAACCATAGTGCAGATACTCAATATGGACCGGCAGAGGTTTTTGCAGACTTTTATCCTGACGGGCCTCCTGTAACATTTTTCGTTCGGAAGGACGCTGGCGCATACATGCTGCCGGGGTTTTAGTGCCATTCCGATTATGTCGACTACGGCATCAGGGTCCAGAATGTGTGGTGGTGGTAGCTCTTAATTTGCGGTGGCCGACGCTTCGTTGAATAACGCATGACAGGTTCGGGGATCAAGATCAACTGTCGTTTGGCGAAACCTGACCTGACTGTGAACAGAGGGGGTAATATCACGAGCATATTGCCATTGGCATGTAGACAACACCATACGGTCCGAGCTTTGCCAGCGAGTGTGTATGGACAAGCGGGAGCCGATTTCCAAAGAAGACAGACTAAAATGGTATAGAATAATGGCCAGCGAGATAGAAAATGCAATTGGAGTATCAGCCAGTATAAACAAAGAAGCCGCCCAGTCCACCAACGCCAGATCATGAGTCTCGACCGTCTATAATATTACAAGCAGCACATCATTCTGAGTTCTCCGAACCCTCATCACTCTTGTTTCCTGTAATCTTGTCCCAGACTTTATCAAACTTATCTGTAAGCCAGTCCCAGAATCCCTTCATGGCTTCTTTACCCTTTTCAATGGCGTCCTCGTCTGCACCGTTGCTCTCCTCCGCGGCGTCCGTCGGTGACGGCTGAGGAGGGTCAATCTGGATGGTCTTGACCGACTCGGCTGCTGGCGTGGATGACTGAGCCGCCTGTGATATGCTCGTTGGTGTGGCAACAGAGGCGGGCGCTTGCGAGGTGGTGTATGCGGGGACGGGGTCTTGTGGCTCCGCAGGAGTGTCCTCGGACTTGTGGGTGCCCAACGGTGACAGCGGGAGGCGCAAGGTTCCATTGTTGGGCTTCGGGACAAGACCAACGGAGTCGCAAAGTATATTGTAGACGTTGATGTTTTCTGTCTCTGTCAGTTCACGTTCTAAAGACTGGATAAGGGGTTGGCTTACGGAAGTTGTCGATCTGGCTGTTGGGCGGATGAGGGAACGCAGGGCCGCGAGCGATGAAAATGGCGCGCATCAGCGGGTGTTCGTGGTCATATCCGTGCAGTCCGCGAGGGT